CAGCTTCCCCCACTGCCTGAGTCTCCTGCAGTCCCTGATGTGGTGATGCCTCCTGCAGTCCCCGAAGCAGCCAAGCCCACATTCCTGTGTCTGCACAGTGTTCAGTCATGACGCGTCATACTCCAATGTGTCCGTGGGTGTCTGTTAGGATGGCCTGCCTTCCTGTGTCTCTATATGAGTCCTCACGTCTCCAGAGGTCATCACGCCCCCAGAGGTTCTCACGTCTCGTGAAGTGGCTACATCTGCAGGTCTCTTTGTCTGCTTTAAAACTTACCCACAAGGATGGATGGCCCCCTGGCCACCCACCTGAACTCTTGGGGACTAGTGCGTTCATTGTTTTTCCCAGGTTCCTACCTGCTGTTTTTTTTGTTTTCTTCCTTAGTCCTTGGTGTCTCTGTTTTATGCTGCCCTGTCAGCTTTGTTTGTTTTGTAAAATAAATACAATTAATTTAATTTTACCTTGGCGTCTCCTGTCATCAGCTTGCACGTGGGTTCTTCCAAACAAGCAGAAATATCAGAAATACGTCACTTTAAAGAGTCAACTTGAAACTCGGTGAGATGCTACCTCAAAGTTAAACTTCAGTTAACATGTTTACCATTTAACAGGACCTTTATGATTAAAATGATTTAAAAAGTCAAAACGGACTCGGGTCATAAGAGAGTTGGTGTAGCCACACATTTACAAGGTTTCTAAATATTCCAAGTTTCGTAAAGCTCCAGTTTATGAGTCAATTTGAAGACTAGCCTCAATTGTCTTAAACTGAATGCTGGTGTAATATGCATGAGTACTTCTTCTGGAATTACTTTGCATAAAGAAACTTCACCTGAATCCTCGTTCTCAGTTTCTGTTCAGAACCTTTTATTGAAACTTAATTTGAGCATAACAGAAATATTATTTAGCACACCAAAAAAAAACAAAAACAAAAAAAAAAAAACAGCAACAATAAAACAAAGACTTTAAATTAAAATCACAATGATGACCAGAATAGTATCAGGATACATGGGAACTGTACAAAAACATATTAATGAACTAACTACTTTTTACAAATATAAAAATCCAAGAGTTTGGTTCAGTTACTTTGTAGCAACAAAGTTGTAAGGCCTGCACAATTTATATAAAAGTTGGATTCCTATGAACACGTGTTTACAATCAAAATATGCTACAAACAGAAGGATTATACAAATAAGGGACAAAAAAAATAAAAAAAATAAAACCCTGATTTGTGCAGTGAGTTGATCAGATATGATGTAGATCCAAATAGTTTCATTTTCATTTTGAGTGAACCCCTTGAAGCTACAACAGAAATTGTTATTTTGAAGGGTTTAAGCCCCCTCAGGGATGAAAAACAATTTTAATTTATTTTCTAATTTAATTTTAATTTAATATAAAAATGATCGTATTTGCATGTCGGCCTGTGGATATTTTTTGGTTGAAAAGACATCAGATTGCAAATAGATGCCGGGGTTAAAATCTATAGTTTGTCTAAAAGTCAAAGTTTAATAGACGTCTAAGTTTTAACTTGACTTTTTCCTCTAAGTCTTTTAGACGTAACTATATAGCTAAATAGAATTGTTTATAAGACGACTAATAAACGTCTAGTTGAAATTTAGGGGTCTACTAAACGTTTACTATGAAACTAAATTCATCGCAATTTCAGTTTACAAAATACATCCATTATCTTTAACCGCTTCTTCCTTTTCGGGTCGTGGGGGTCACTGGTGCCCATATCCAGTAGTCACTGTGTGAGGGGCGGGGGACACCCTGGACAGGTCTCCAGTCCATCACAGGGACACATAGAGACAAACGAGACAATCAACCATTCACTCTCTCACTCACACCTAGAGACAATTTAGAGTTACCAATCAGCCTAACATGCATGTTTTTGGTCTGTGGGAGGAAACTGGAGTACCCAGCGAAACCAACGCATGCACAGAGAGAACATGCAAACTCCACCCAGAAAGGCTCCTGGTTGGGATTCGATCCGGCGACCTTCTTGCTGAGAGGCAACAGCTCTACCAACCGAGTGCTGCCCTCAAAATACATACTTTAAATGTCTCTTGCAACTTGGAAAGGCTGGGCAGCCAGCAGTTATCATAATTATCAACACCTTTGGAAGATTTTGGACTGTTTTAAAGAGAACTCCTCACCAACACAATCTTCAAAACAGCCTGAAGTTCTTTGCCAAATTTCACTCAAACTGGTCTTAGGACAACTAGGGACCCAACACATTACTAAGACATAATTCATTGTTATTGTTGTTTGTAAAATCTGTCACTTATGAGTATAACCCAACGTATAAAAGCTAATGGGTCTAAAAACTGGGCTTGTCCATACATTGGCCCCAGTGCTAACTGCACATGTACGCTTGATAAACAGTCTGACTGGGCACCTTATAACCCTGATGCATGCAGTACTCTTTAGTAGGACAGTTCTCAGGAAGTGTAATTTATCTTTAGTAATCCAGCACATTGCTGATTTGTTTATTTGCTGATTTAAATATTCAGACTGCTGCTATTTACAAGGTATTTTATCAAAATTATGATGTCCAAATAGAAATTCAATGCAACAAACAAGTTAAATCTGACTACCCATCATAGTTGCTCCACCTCAAATTACAAAGGTGAAGGAATTATGTTTGAGCAACATATAATAAAATGATATTTGGGAAATTCAGTAGATCTGAATTATTCTCTTGAGGTTTACATTGATTGCAAACTGCTAAATGTTGAAAGCAAAACATAAAAATAGGCTCAACTCCAAGTTTATTAGACTATGTCCTTAAATAGGTTATGTGTGTTTACTTTCTTAATCTGTCCAATTGCATTTGATATAATTATAATTTCACAAAAAAACAAAACTCCAATAACCAGCCTGGTTTAGCCCTGCCACTGTTTCTTTTTTCATACTTCATCTTTGATAATGAGTTTGTAACACTGTTGTAAATGGTAAATGGACTGTATTTATATAGCGCCTTTCTATTTTATTTCAAGATACTCAAAGTGCTTTACACTACAATTTGTGTCCTCATTTACCCATTCATACAGCACTCTACTAGATCTCTACAATCTGTTGTGACAAAAATAGATATCTACTTGGACCTGTCCATGAAATGTAAGAAAGTCTTCAGTCTTCGCGGTACATTTATTGGAGTAGGAAACTAAAGTTCATACATTCAGTCATAGCGAGGCTGTATTGATTGTTTGAATACTTATGTTTGACTTATATGTATATATGAATATCTTACAAAAAGATCTGAAGCTCTCGACCTTGACCTCTCTAAGTGGCTTTAAGAATCTGTTGGACTCCTGGCAAGGACCAATGCAGACATGTTCCTGTTTTTAGTTTTCTACTTCGCCTTATAAGCTAGCTGTTATTGTTAATGTTTTTGCCATCTTATTTGTAAAAAAAATAAATAAAAAAAATCTGTATGCCTTTTTGTGGCTGTCTATTGTTGTCATCGTTCTTTGTTGAAATCAGGTCTCTCCTGTAAATGAGTCCTCAAGGCTTCATGGGATTTACCTGTCTAAATAAAGGTTGAATGAATGCACCTAAGTGGATGTTCAATTATACAATTTGTCAGGAAGATACTAGTAGTAACTTGTTTACAACCTCTTTGAGAGGTCAGCAAAGCAGAGGAAGGGAACACAGCAAGAATTTTAGGTGATTTATGAAGAGTCACCATTATAAAACGATAAACATTTAACCAGACAATACTTCAACTAGGCTTTAAATAAAGCACACTGATCGTACCTGTCAGATACATGGAATGATCTCGAGTCTGGCTCAAATCTGGTGCTGGCATGCATCCTGGGTGGTCATATCACAAGAGGGCAGTGATGGACAGAGGTATGACAGCACTCAGGACAGACTGAGGGGGATGATTCGGAACAGGGTGCATTCACACCAGTCCTGTTTAGTCTGTTTTATCAAACTCTAGTCCATTTGTCTAGAAAGTCTGGTTCATTTGGGGAGGTGTGAATGTGCAATCAAACTCTGATGTGGACCAAAAAGCAAACTCTGGTCTGCCTAAAAACCTAGATCTCGGTCCGGTTGAAGTGAACTCTGGCGCGGTTCGAATGCAATGTGATTGCAAGCGGGCCAGAGACCGCTCCAAAAGCAGGAAGTGGACTACAGCACAGGGCATTCTGGGTAAATGCAACCAAAACAAACTCACATTTCTCATACCTCATACGGAGCCATCTTAGCCGCCTTGTGTGGAAAACAACATTCTCCATGATTTTCTTGCCTCATCTTCCGCTCATGCTGAGTCCATTGTTGAAAAATGTTTGTTGGGCACATGAGCCACAGACAAAACAGAAACCCTAAAACAGCTCAAATTTGACGCTGCTCCGTTTTTTGTTTTTTTTCCACGAGTAAGTTGCGTTCAGTGTCTTCTTCAGAGGTTTTAGTGTAGTTTCCTTCAGTAGTTCTTGGTGCTGCGCCATCACAGGTGAGAGAGGGAACAAGTTGGCTCGATTGACTCAGTGCAGTGTGAATGTGACCCGCACCGGCTGAAAATGTAAACAAATGTTCCAAATTTTGGTCCACAATTGAACAGAGTCTACTGGACTATCATGTGTGAAAACAACCTTAATCTACATCTGTTTAGTCTGAATGCAAATCTGTCCTGGGCCACATTGTTTTACCACCTACTGACCTGAAGTGACACATTTGTGATAAATATCAGTAGACCTGCTGGTGTCCTGTTTGTTGGTCAGCAGCCTGACTGGGTGACACAGACATGAGACATTTTTAAGAAGGTGGTCACTGAGGACACACGTACTATGAGCACCTCTGATCGGATCAGCCAGGGCTCATGTTGGTGCTAGATCTGAACAGGGCTGAAGACTTTGTAAAAAACAAAAACATTTAAAACAAACCAAATATATATATATATATATATATATACAAAAGTATATATTCAGTCCGAGTCATTACAATGACTTTGTCAAAGATTATAAAACAAAAAATAGTAAAAATACTCTGTGCGCCTGTATGTATCTGTAGGGACTTGATCCTGATCCGTTATTCACAGTCCAGCACCTTGAGCTCTGAGGAAGGGCTTTCTCTAGGTGGCAGGAAGTCATAGTGAATGGGGACATGGCTGTTTTTTGGTAGATCATATAGACCCGGCTGAAACTGCAGAGGGCTGTGGCTAACTTCAGAGGCCTGGGTGGGGTTTATGGTTGGCTCTGAAATAAAGAAAAACAAACAAACAAAAAGTCCATTGGTATTTTGCATAAAGGACAATAATATAATGCTTAAAAAGCCCAATGTTTAAGCAACAAACGTATAAAAAATAGTCATTGTATCAGTAAGTTTGACTTGACGTCAGTTCCACCTTTTAATATTGTGACTCAAGTCACCCATCCCCTAAAGAAACAAACAACCAGTGGTGGGCATAGTTCCGCTAATCCACCAACAGCTAATAGCAGAACTAATTTTTCGTTTAGCGTATAAGCTTTCTCGATAACTTTGGAAACTGTTAGCGGAATTAACTTGAGCTAAATTGGGTTTTTGCCAACTTTAAGTCCGCTAACAAAATTCACAAGCTTGTTCCTGTCTGTTGTGGACGTGTCTCCAAGAGTCTGTTAGGCACTTAATTGTTTTACTACGTGTACACGTGACAAGACGTGATTGGTCGAGGCAGCTTCAACTGGAAGGAGATGACGATGTGTGACAAAGACTGAGTGACAGTCGTCTTAGTGGTTAGCCATTTAGCATTAGCGAAACAAATATTTTAGTTAGCAGAATATGAATTAGTAAAGCTAACTTTTTGGTTAGCTGTGACACTGCAAATAACCTATCTGTCAGCATGCAAAACTGACGAATAAAATGAATATATTAAGTTTTACATGTATTTTATTGTAGATTTTTTATTTAAAAAGTGATCAAAATTAAAGAAAGCCAGTTTCAGACTTAGCACTAACATACAATTCAGGCGGCTGGTGGTCACGTGGTTGCGAGACAAGACGTTTGTTCTCACACACACACCATTCATAGTCCATGTGACGCAGAGTGCAGAGCTCCTGGGAAACACCTTCTGCAGCAGTACATGTCCACCCATGTCCATGTATATGTGTGGTTATCGAACCAAAAGTAAACACAGTGACAGTAAGTATGGCAGAGGTGTACGATTACGAGTTCACAAGCGAGGAGGCGGACATGATGTTTGACGAGCAGGAAAATCTGTTATTACTTTTCACGTTTACAGATACGATGGAAAGTAGGAGAGCATGTAGGTGTCACGTCCACCTGCTGAATAGGATCAGAGCCGAGCGGGGCGAGTTCAGTCTGTTGGTCCAAAAGATGTGGTAGATAGACCACGAGAAGCACTTTACCCATTATTGGATTATGGGGGAGTGGTGGCGCAGAGGTTAGAAGATGGGCTTGTGATTGGAAAGTCGCAGGTTCACCTCCAGGTACCGTCAACATCTAAATGTGGGTGGAAAAGGCGAAACACCCACACCTCCCTCCACCCTCATTCACCCCACTCTGGGCCCCTGAGCAAGGCCCTTAACCCCCCCACCATCTGCTCCCTAAACAGGTCTCTCTTGAAAATGAGTTCTCGTGGCTCAATGAGACTACCTGGATAAATAAAGGGTAACAAATAAATAAAATAATTAAAAAATTGGATGACTGCCACTTGTATTGACAACCTCATCCATCGGATTATCCCATTCTTCTAACATGCACCAACACACAGCATGCCAATCTCTGATCCAGAGGGATTAGCATTCAAACTACATCTATTAGCTAGTTACTAAATGGGAGTGTCAATTGTTTCTTCAGTTCTGTTCGAGATGACCAAGGCAATTTAGCTGGCTTTGAAGGACGAGTTTGTCGTGTTTCCATCATCGGCCCCGATGGTAAATATAGCACAAGACATTTGGCAACTATGGAACTTTCCCAGTTGTGTTGGATTAATTTATTGTAAGCATTAAAAAAATCAGAGATCCACCAAGAACAGGAAGGGACTTTTTTATTTACAAAGGTGGGCATACCATTGTTTTGATGGCAGCGTGTGATGCAAGGTATAAGTAGTCCCTCGTTTATTGTGGAAGATCCGTTCCCTGAAGCCCCGTGATAATTGAAAAACCACAAAGTAGGAATATTAGTATAAGTAGTAATTAGTAGTTTAGCACATGTGTGTATATTCTAAAAGAGCACAACATGTCATGATCTCAGCTCTCTACCACGGCTGCACTCTGCAGCCTTGGCCACGCCCACTTCTCCGCTGCAGAACGGAGATCAACAAAGGAGGAGGGAGGAGCTGCAGGAGGACGTTTGTCCTGCAGTGTGGGCTGCACACAGGTGCAGCAGAGGTGCTAAATAATTTAAAATAATTAATTTTAAGTAAAAATCCATGCCTATCGTGCAGCTCATCCATCAATTAGCCATTGTTTGTCTTATCCAATCTTGTTTTGAAAAACCACGATGGAGCGAGTCCGCGAAAAACGAACCACGAAGTAGCGAGGGACTGCTGTACACGTAAATGCATTAAAAAACACGCTTCTGACCAATCACACACAATACTTTGCACTCCTGTGAGAAAAGTTCGGCCTGGGCTTTGTGTCGAGAAGGAGCGGACAAAGCTACAACGAGAGCAAAATGATGCAATTTGTGTCACGCAACTACACCAATGAGAGCCGATATCTTGACTTTGGATGGAGTATGTAACAACATGACACCTGAAGCCCTGAAACAAACTCAAAACAAAGAGTAGGAAAAAGATCTTTACCAACTTCATAGACATTCCGAGTATTAGTAGGGCTGCTGCTGCTAATTTCTGCGTAAGCTGAGTCTCTTCTGGTGGGTGATTTCATTTCCATGTAGCCACATTCTGTGTTCTTGGATGTCAGCAAGGGGGGGTCGAGTATTGTAGCATACGGGTTTTCAGAGCTGTTCAAGGAACAAGAGCTGGCATGATAGGCTCTGCCCTTCACCACATCTGGATAACAGGAACAGGAATGTCAGGGACAGATACTGTAAAACCATTAAAATGAGAAGTTTAACATTCATATGCAGGATGTACCTCCTAAAGGTGTTCCCATGAATGTCTTGTCAACACCACAGGCTCCTGGTATGAAAAATAAAGTCAAAGAGTAAAGTGTAGGAAAAAAGGTAATGCTAGAAATTATTACAAAACATATTACATTGGAATTCCATTAAGAAAGTTTTCATCATAGCAATATTTAAGGGTATAGAGAAATATAAGACAAATACAACTAACTGGATCTCCTTTCTGACAACTTAGAATTATGATAATTTAGAAAAGCTGCATCCTGATACTACAATGTAAAAGCTAGATCTGTTTGGTTATGTAGTGAAACACTAACTGAGGATTCTTGGTTTCTTCATAAAACCCAAGAAGGTGTCATTATCGCCACCAGATGTAAATTTACAACTGATTTAACGTTTGGCGACGTTAGTCAAAATAATAAAATAAAATAACTGATATTGAGCAAAAAAATTGTTGTGGTGGTAGCTGAGAGTCATCTTCGTTACATACTCCTACATACATTAAGTTCTGTTAGCAAAATATCTCAAGACACAACTGAGCAGATTTTTATGAAATTCTCAGAAAGTAATAATTTGGTGTAATAATTTGGAGTTAACTCCATTCAAGATGGCCACCACTGCCAAATGACCAAAGGAAACACAAAACTGGCTGTAACTCATTCAGTTATACAGATATAGAGCTAAAATTTGGTGTGATAGCAGCTGAGAGTCATCTCCAACACATACTTTGAGCAAACACATATTTTGTACAATCTTTCTTCAAACTCTTACCTTTAACTACTGGAGTCCACTGCCTAAATACAATACAATAAATTTCAACCACTTTCCACCAACCTCGGCTTGATCGTAGTCAGTCAAGACCAGAGAGAACTCACCCAGTTCACTGAAGCAGTCTCTTTGTTTCCAGTCTGCAGGTAGTGTACCGACCTGAGGTCCAACATGATGAGTCTGTTTTCTCTGATCAGCATTCTTCATGTTTGGTAATAGCTGGGTGAAATTGACCTGAAACACAATTCAGTGGTATTTTTTACCAGATCTCTTTGTCCCATTCTTTCATCCCTTCAGTACTGATCAAATATATGTCCATACCTTTCCATATGGACCAGTGCTGATGTGTGAGGGGCTGATGCACTGGGTTAGGGTGTGGTAACTGGGGTTGGAGAAGTAGTTGCTTGGCTGGGGCTCACTAGTTGGGGTGCGAGTATCTGCAAAATGATAAGGTGGCAAGAATTATAAAGAAGGGAGGGGCTTACATGTAGCTAAAAACTATAAAAGCTAGATGCTTTTGAACTAAAGTGATTTACCTGCCATGGTGTAATCAGCTGTGACTCTCGTAGCAGGGGTGTACGTCACAGCCGGCATGGTGGACTCTTTGCCCTTCTGTTTCTTTTTGTAGATGATGAGCATGAGCAGGAGAAGAAGCACCAGTAGCACCAGGACGATAATTCCTGCAATGGCTCCTATCTGGTAGGTGTCCACATGCATGGCTGTACTGGTCAAACTGTTCAGGCTTCCTATGGTCACAATGCCAGCTGCAGACGAAACAAGGGAACGATGAACCAGAGTCAGAGCATTAGCTTGTCAATAAAGTCCGTTCTCAATTTTCAGTTAGGAATAAGGTCAATCTAAATCTAGATTTGTGAAATACATTGGGTTTATAAAAGACTGAATATATATATAAAATGCTTTGATATTCATTGAGGTATGTCCCAACCTTGGTCACATCGAACTCCCTTCCAGCCAGGGTTGCAGTAACATGTTCCGGTCATGTGATCACAAGTGGAGTTGTTCAGACAATCGCAGAGCTGACGGCAGCCATATCCGTATGAACCATGAGGACACTCTGAAGTAAAAAGTGAAATGTTGCCATTTGGGACAACTTTGTTGGGTCTCATTCAAAAGTTTTCACTGAAACTGCAGTTAATAATTCACATTTCAAGAAAATCTACAGATTTTCTAGAGTTCAGGACATAAAAAAAATGAACTGGTCTTTACCAGGTTTTGAAAAATTTCAAGTGTGCACAACGGACTAAACTGTTTTGGTGAAGATAAAATGTTGAAATGAGTTGTTCAGTTATTTGGAAGAAAGATTAATGGAAATAAAAAAATAAAAAAACAGAACTAAACAAACAAAAAAAGAATGCAGACAGAAAATGGACAATTTGAAAGAAAGTACAAAGTAAATTCTGTAATGAGAAGGATGTTGGGTAGTGTAACGTACTTTGTTCACAGTGTTGTCCCATGAAGCCGGTCCGGCACGTGCACTTTCCAGAGATGTGGTCGCAGTCAGCGCCGTTCCTACACAGACACACCTGAGAGCAGTCCTTCCCATAAAAACTTAACGGGCAGCCTGCAACAAAGACCCTCTCATCACATGCTGTACTAATATACATCAGAATGGTTTTACTTTGAAATAAACAAGACGTGAGACTTGCAGTGTTTGAATTAAAGTAAATTCATTAACACCTTTACTGGTAGCAAATGCAGTAAAGCAGTAATTAAACACTTTTATACATTTATTATGCAGTCTAGATGGTATGAATCTGTTTTTCTTGCTCTTCTTCAGTCAGCGTAGCCAGCATTTAATTTAAAATGAATATGATATTTTCCAAACCAGATCAGAACCAAATGGGAAATATATTTTCAGACTTTGGCTCCAAACATACAAAATATGAATACTTCAGTTGTGGACTGTAGACGTTAATGGATTCTCCTAGTCCATTTTTATTTTTGTGGATGGCCTCATTACTGTCTTGAAGCAGCTGTTGAAGTAATATTTTGACCACGAGTGTGTTGCTTGTAGTTTATCCAGTATAAGTGCACCCTTGAGTATAGCAGTTTCATACCAGACCTAAACATTGTGTTTGGTGCACTGCACCAATAAAGCCTGGAAAATAAATCCACATCAAAAGTGTGACAGGAAATAAAGTTTGAGCTTTCTGTCACTATCTACATTTGTCTATCAGGAAAACAACAAAAGCTTTTGGTGCAAATAAAATGTATTTACCGCATCTATGTGGGTATTTAAAATAACTTTTGTTATGGTTGAGCTAAAACATGAATATGCTGGTGTCCCTTTGTTCCATCAGTCCCCAGCGTCAGAGAAACTGAAAGCTCAGAGGATGAAGTGTGTTTTTTAAGGCAACGCTTGATCAGCTTCTAGGAAACCCCACAAGCGTGCGAGTGTTAAACGGTGACTGACGCTGTGTGCAGTAGAGTCCAGTCCATCCAGGGGTGCACTTGCATTCTCCGTCATACGCGCTGCAGTATGCCCCGTTGTGGCAGTTACAAGTGTGGATGCAGTTGGGGCCCCAGTGACCCGGAGGACATGCTGCAACACAGGGACAGCTAAATGTTAGCAACTCCCGTTCATTAACGAATGACAAATTGCTCATGAACTCAGTTATCATACTTGATAACTGATCACAAGTCATGCTTTAAATCTGTATGTTCATAATTTTACGGAGAGAACGAACGCTGGGAGCAGTCGCTGCCGATCCATCCTGGATAACACTGACAGGATCCATCGATGGGGTTACAGGTGCCGTTGTTGGTGCAGCTGCAGCTCCAAGCACAGTTCTTCCCAAAGTGACCACTGGGACACACTGCATGTGTTAACAAAGAACAAGGTGAGGGTTATTTTTTGGGGGGAATGGGTTAAAAGAAAGAGGGAAAAAATTATATGGGCTTGAATTTCACCCATAATTATACATTTTATACTGTACTTCACATATTCAATATAGAAAAATCAGCTGATGGGGTTTAGTACCCCCGTAAGGTTGAGCATAGGAAGTTGTAACTGTGATGTTACATGACCCTCCCCCCTCTGTGAGTTTGATTGTTAGCTAATCCTGCTGTCCTGAACATTTGTCTAAAGATGTTAAAATGCACCACAAGTCAAACACAGTAAACCATCAAGAGTAAATATTGATAAGAATGCACTTTTCAGTTCTGGTAGTAGTTTTTCAATTACACTGTGTGACATGTCTGACTGTGAAGGCTTCCATTTTGTTTCTGAGCATTTCTAAACCACCGCCAGGACTTCATTTGAGGAGTTAGTAGCTGGTAAAAAGTGTTCCACAGTATGCCACAGTGAATATTAGTTAGAAAAAGTATTTTTTAAATGTATTAGTAACAAATATTTATATAACGGTACCCCTAATTCTCAGCATTTAGTTTCTTACTTAAACTATAAAAAATAAAGAAATTAATGTTATCTAGTCATTAGCACCAGTTCCATTTAAACTGTTTGTTTAAGATGCATTTTATTGTCAGAGTATTGTTAAGAAAATATCTGACATGTTTAACATTGCAGAGATATTTATCCCTCCTGTTGCCTTTGGGTCGACATGAACCACGAGGACTAGTGGGTCATTTTGACCCAAGGGCAGCAGCAGGGTTAAGCCAGCTAAAGTTGTTTGTAAGGAGGAGACTGTAGGTAAGAAGAGGAATATAAAGATTTTTCCCAACATCCTTTCTGTGACTAACATGAGCTGAGACTTCTCAGCATTTAACCACATTTTGTGGAACCAGTGTTTTGGAGGAGAACTTGGACCTTGGGGTGAGGCTCACCTTCATTACACAGCGCTCCCTTGAATCCAGGCAGACAGTCGCACTGTCCTGTAATGTGGTGGCACGGTCCGTTACTGTGGACACACTGTGGACAGGTCTGACTGCAGCGGTGACCAAAGTAACCCGGTGAGCAGACTGCAGACAGAACACAGATTACTGTTGTCGTTCGTCAGGTCAAGAAGTAGTTTGATGTTCTGTGGTACTGATGCGGTTCTCACTCCTCTGGCAGGTGCTGCCTCGGTATCCCGGTGCGCACTCACAGGTTCCTTCATCAGGGGAGCAAGATGCTCCGTTCTTACAGTTGCATGGGAGGGAGCAGTTTGGGCCCCAGCGGCCCTCTGCACACACACTGTCACAGTGGATGCCTGCGCACGCACACAAACAGCTGCATTTTCATCATTTTATAAGACACAACAGTGACTTTCATGAGATTTTTAACCTTAAAAACACATCATAAGCACATCTAACCCAGTCAAACTAACAACTAATCAAAGTCAGCGCTGTGAAATGTAATAATATTAGCTTGTACCAGAAAACATTCAGACTTTTTCCCATTTTACACAACTAATGGCTGTGGTTTGGTGGATGCACTTCCAAAATATAAGCATCCAATGCTTCTTTGCAGTTGTAACCATGATTCATTCTGTTTTAGCCATTCTGTTCAAGTTGCTACTGTATTTTGATTATTCCACTCATATTAGTCCAATGTTCAGCTGTTTGACAACGATGGCCTCCTGTATGACTCTAGAATACTTTGGTCTACAGAGGTCAAGGTCGACCTGATGACTGCAAAGTGACCAGGTTCTGTGGCTGCAAAACAAGCCCAAATCCTCAGCCCTGCACCATTGTGCTTAACAGATGATATGAAGTGTTTTTGTTCAAAGTGGTACTACCCTTTATGGCCAAACATCTTTACTAGGCATGAAGAGTTTTGCAATTATTCACAAGCGTTGATGGACTTGCAAATAGCCTGTAATTCTTATTAGACTGACGGAGAGCAACAGTTGCTTCCTTTTCTCTGGTACGTTGAGTCCACACACATCTGGATGCTACAGAGCAACAAACTGCAAAACATGCATACAGTGAGGAAAATAAGTATTTGAACACCCTGCGACTTTGCAAGTTCTCCCACTTAGAAATCATGTAGGGGTCTGAAATTTTCATCTTAGGTGCATGTCCACTGTGAGAGACATAATCTAAAAAAAAAATATATATATCTGGAAATCACAATGTCTGATTTGTTAATAATTTATGTGTGTGTTACTGCTGCAAAATAAGTATTTGAACACCTGTGAAAATTAATGTTAAAATTTGGTACAGTAGCCTTTGTTTGCAGTTACAGAGGTCAAATGTTTCCTGTAGTGTTTCACCAGGTTTACTGCAGCAGAGATTCTGGCCCATTCCTCCACAGATCTTCTCTAGATCAGCCAGGTTTCTGGGCTGTCACTGAGAAACACGGAGTTTGAGCTCCCTCCAAAGGTTTTCTCTAGGGTTTAGGTCTGGAGACTGGCTAGGCCACTCCAGAACCTTGATATGCTTCTTACGGAGCCACTCCTTGGTTCTCCTGGCTGTGTGCTTCGGGTCATTGTCATTTTGGAAGACCCAGCCATGACCCGTCTTCAATGCTCTGAGGGAAGGAGGTTGTTCCCCATAATCTCACAATACATGGCCCCAGTCATCCTCTCCTTAAACAGTGCAGTCGTCCTGTCCCATGTGCAGATAAACACCCCCAAAACATTATTTCTAAGTGAGAGAACTTGCAAAGTCACAGGTTGTTCAAATACTTATTTTCCTCACTGTATATAAATCAGTGCATTTCACTGGCAGTACCTGGCTAATTTCCTAAATTATTTCCATGAAACAAGTGAAAGCTGACTTGGTTTTTCACATGATTTCTTGACATTTTAAGTTGGTTTTTGTTCAGTAAATAATGACTCATAATGTGCTGTTGGTCATCTGTATACATTTTGTCTTTTCAACATGCTCTGATGTGTACAACACCAAACTGAAACCCTGAAACTTAACATTTATAAAAATTGTGTATCTTCAAAGCTTGGACATGTCAGCTGAGAGGACCTTGGTGTTTGGACTTACCGGTCCATCCAGCCAGGCAGCGGCAGTGACCCGTGGCGGGATGACATCCATCAGCATGACTGCAGTCACAGCGTTCCTTACACTCCAGACCGTAGGTACCATCCTGAACCATCACAAACACCAACTGCTTAAAATGTATTACAATAAGCAGGTAACAATGTTTCACTCAGAAGAGCCCAGAACAGGAATATTTTAATTTATCAAAGTAAAAATTCAAGTTCTTATATTTGTGCTTTAAAGTTTTGCTCTGAAAATAGAAAGTTCATATTTTCTTACTTTAATTCAGTGTTTTGCCCTCACGGTTGCTATCCTCATTTATTTTTTGTTTTCAAGCTCTGATCATTTCTGCTGACTAAATATCATTAATAGACACTGAATATTGTGTTTATCACAGTAGATATACGTTTTATTTTATTTAAACACTCATCCACTCTGCACTCGCTCAAGGCAGACACCTTTTCCTCTCCCTCCCTTGTTCTCCTCTTCCTCCTGCCTTTTTTTTGCTCTCTGCCTGTATCTCTGTCAGAGCTCCAGTTACACATCTTCCAAACGAAAAATACTTTTATGGATCTGGTGAGCTGGACTTTCAACGCAATCGACAAAATCTTTTCAACAAAATGACAGGGTCCTGGAGAGCCCTCATGTCCTGCTGAGACTCATGCTGCAGGATACGTCATGGACCCATTGGGAGTGTGGGAGCTGATGTGTCTTTCTGTTTTGTCTCAGGAGGACGCCGAAGACGTTTATATAATTGGATTCATGATAGCAGGGTTTCTGCTTTTTGGCATCGGTGGGTTCCTATGTTGTCAGCTTTTGTAGAAGACATCAGCAGCAGTTTCAGCCGTGACAAAACTGCCAAGTCTGTGTGAAGGTTTAGTTCATGCTATGAGGACTCAAAATCAGCTGATTTACGAGCTAAACCTTAAGATCGAAGTGATTTGTGAGAATCGCAGACCACCTGCAACTTCTAGGACTCGCCGGCATGTTGGAGACAACCTTGAATGAGGCTCATAGCACGGATCAGTGGAATGCCCACAAATCTGGCCATTTTGGATCTTGAAGGTACCAGCAGGACTCGTGGATGACAAGAAAAAAACAGTCTGCCTGAAGAAATCAACAATTGTGGCTTATCTGAATCTGACTCCCCCATTTGGCCTTGAAAGCAAGCAGACTATCAAATTTCTCCTGGGACATGGGTAAACTAAGGAAAAAGCATTGTCTATCACCTTCCCCCCCCCCCCCCCCCCCCCATCTGAGAACTTCTGTGCAGGCTTATTAGAACTGCCGGCTGACCAACATCTTATCAGGACTATGGACTATCTGGAAGTGCTTCATGGACAAATCTCACCGTCTTGCCATCAAATGCATATGGAACGTGTCTACAAATGTGCTTGCTGGTAGAGTTTTGATGTCTTAAATTGTGTCCTGATAAGACGAGATGTGAAGAGATCTTTTTTATAATACCACTACCCATCCTCATGGCCTTTTACCTTTTTCTATCTAAAAAAGTATTCTGATAAAGAATAAGAGGCTGCGCTCCAGTAGCAGCAGCAACGTGCACTCCGCCAATCGTTCGGACGAGTGTAAGAACATAATCTCACTGTATCTCGGTACAACGATAATAAAGCTTATTCTAATTCTGATCATTTCATACTAAAAGCTAGGCAAAATCAAAAACTTATCATTTAGATTAAAAAAAGTTGCTAAAAGTTTTTTCTTTGCCACATTTATTGTTTTTAATAATGTGAGTTAAAAAAATCTGCATTACATTTTTTTTTATTTTTTACAAATGATTACAGTCTTCATAAAGGTTTTGTGTTTACTGTGTGTGCCACCTTTAAAGTAAAAGTTACCCAGTTACCATCAGCAAAGTGCAGAGACTTGAGTTTAAATTTGCCATCTTTTTATTTTTTATGTTATTTTTCTGCAGCATTGCAGACACTGAAAAGATGGATTAGTCTCAAAAGGTAACTGTTAATGAATATGCTGGGATCCTGTCTATCGAATAAACAAATGTATCACAGTATTTATTGTATTTATTTTTTTTTTGCAAATGTTTTAAATATTAAAAACCATAATCACAGCTATATATCC